GATTGGGCACGCACGGGCAATCCTCGGGGTTGCGGTCGGCTCCTCTGGGAACCTGTTCAGGGGGAGGTGGTCGTCCATCTCGGGACGTCATTCGGTGCTCGGGACCCAAGAGGACCCCGAACGGGGTCTCGCAACATACGTGAAACTCTCCAAGCCCTTGAGGGCTTCCCGCGTTTCTCGTGGCCCCTGAAACGGCACCGATGCGAACCAGGGCCCACGCCCCCCAACCTCCATCCCCTTACACCCTGCCCTTAACCCTGAACCATACCCCCTAACCCCATATACCCCTAACCACTAACCTTATCCCCAACCAACGCCTTACACTGAAGTTTAACCCCTACCCCATGCGGTCCCCCTGATGTTCAATCATCATTCTAACCCCTACCCTAACGACGAAGCGGCCAACACTTCAGGCATCGGATGGTCCTCTGCAGCCAGAGCCCGATGGGCCAATGGAATCAACATAGACGAAGCTGTCAACGTTTTAGGTATCGGATGACCCTCTCAGCCAGAGCCCGATGGGCCATTGTAATCAACATATGGCGGGATACTGGAGTCAAGGCGCGACGAACGTGACCTTGCAGGGGGGGGCGTATCCGAGCCCTACCCTGACCCACTGGGCGGCGAGAGGGGGCATGGCCAAGTAATGAAGAGGATGTAGGGGATTGGTCTTTAGAATGGGGGGGGAGGGTCCGTAGCCATTATGGCTCAGCCATTCTAGATCGCGTTGTTCTGTCGACCCCTCAGACACATGCAACAGTTCGTATACGCTGTTCTTGGTGCGTGTTGCATCTCTGCAGCGTCTTCCATATCAATGACTTCCCTTCCACCTGCGCCGAAACGGTGCAAAGTGAGAGCGGGCCAAGAGGGTTCCAGGACTGCATTTTTGAGCCTCCGGGGGGGGGGGGGGGGGGAAGAATCCCCCCCCCCCCCCCCCCCCCCCCCACACACTTATTCTTTAGCCATGAAGAACACAAGGCGCCCCCGAGAGGCCTCCCAGAACTCCCCCAAAGAGCCCCGAGAGGGCTCCAATACCCTCCAAAAGAGACCCAAGAGGGCTCCAAGAAGGCCCCAAGAGGACCCCAAGGGCGCCCCAAGAAGGCCCTAAGAGGACCTCAGGAGAGCCCCAAGAAAGAGCCCCAGGAGGCCCCAAGAGGGGCCAAAGAGAATCCCAAGAGGGCCCCAAGATGCCTCCAAGTTTCGGAACGCACGCGAGTTTAATATACAAATCAGTGCAACAGCCATCACGAGTTATCGAAATACCCCTCACCTCACATCGAAGCACCATCGTAATGTGCACACATTTCCATCTTAAGCTTCAATGCGGGAAGCTATGTGTGATGCTTGTGTATCGAAGACGGCTGCGCGACTGCATGCGTTCTGCCGCCCCTGATTCACCAACTCCCCTGCTGATCGTTTCTGGATGGTGGGGATACGCGAAGCGTCAAGAATTCCCCCCCCTCTTCGTCCTCCCCCTTCTCCTCCGAGGGGGGTGGGGCAAATTTGGAGGGACCCCCCCCCCCCGACCAACCAGCAAAGGATAATGCACTTGGACACCGACAGCAAGCAGCAGAGGCAGCATATGGAAACGGTGGCAGCAAAACACTGCCACGCTCCCCCTCCTCCCCCTCCTCCCCCTCCCCGCCGCTCCCGTGCACCTGGCCCGCCCCCTCTCTGCTCCTGCCTCTCCTCCTAGCTTTTGTTTGTGGGCAAGAGAGAAACATGTCGGATGGTATCCGAGTTGGCCCACTTAGGGTAACCATTCGGTCTCACTTAGCCTGGTTAGCTTAACCACTTACCAACCGACATCCAGGGACAACCCACAACATACGAAGCGGGATCCGTTGATATCCCCATAAACAGGTTACCCCATATAAGATAGGAGAATCACATGCACATGCATGTCGCCCAACCGCTTAGCAAACGCAGCGGCCATCGCAGAAGGCGCGGGGGCCCGAGAAGAATGGGGGGAACACGGGGGCAACGGCAGAGGAACGCAGGGGAGGAGCGGGGGGAGGGCGCACGGTCGGAATCAGGCCAGGGGGGCCCGGGGAAGGCGGGGGGCACGGAGGCAAGAGGAGGGAGGCGCAGGGGAGGAGCGGGGGGAGGGCGCATGGTCGGAATAAAGGGAGGGGGGCCCGGGGAGGACGGCGGGGGCGCGGAAGGGAGGAACGGGAGGGCGCGCGGTCGGAATAAGGGGAGGGGAGCCCGGGGACGGCGGTGGGAGCACGGAGGAGCAGGCGCGGGAGTCCGGGGAGCGTGGGGGGAGCACGGGTGCAAGGGGAGAGGGGTGCAGGGGAGGAGCGGGAGGAGGGGCGCACGGTCGGAATAAAGGGGAGGGGGGGCTCGGGAAAGGCGGGCGGGGCGCGGGGGAGAAGGCGTGGAAGCTAGGGGAGCGTGGGGGGAGCACGGAACGAAGGGAACGGGGCGAATGGGAGGAGCAGGGGGGCAGGTGCACGGTTGGAATAAGGAGAGGGGGGGTCGGGGACGGCGGGGGAAGCACGGGGGAGAAGGGCGCGGGGGCGCGGGGAGGGTGCGAGGAGGACGGGGGCAAGAGGAGGGAGGCGCAGGGGAGAGCGGGGGGGGGAGGGGGCGCACGGTCGGAATAAGGAGTGGGGTGGGGGCTCGGGGACGGCGGGGGGGGCACGACGGAGGAGAAGGCGCGGGGGCCGGGGAGCGTGGAGGGAGCACCGGGGCAAGGAGAGAGGGGCGCAGGGGAGGAACGGCGGGGGGGCGCACGGTCGGAATAAGGGGAGGGGGGCCAAGGGAGAGCGGGGGAAACACGGGGGAGAGGGGCGCGGGGGCGCGGGGAGGGTGGGAGGAGGACTTGGGCAAGAGGAGGGAGGCGCAGGGGGGTGAGCGGGGGGAGGAGAGGGGGGGGGCGCACGGTCGGAATAAGGAGTGTGGGGGGGGCTCGGGGACCACCAGCAGAACCGCCAGCACGACGACCAGCACAACCACCAGCACGGCCACGAGAACGACCAGCACAACTAGCAGCACGACCACCACCAGCACAACCACCAGCACAACCACTACCAACCACCACCACGACCACCAGCAGAACCACCAGCACGACGACCTGCACAACCACCAGCACGACCACCAGCACAACCAGCCACCAGCACGGCAACCAGCACCTCCGCAAGCACGACCACCAGCACAACCACCAACACGACCACCAGCACGACCAGCCACCAGCACGGCCACCAGCACCTCCGCAAGCACGACCACCAGCACAACCACCAGCACGACCACCAGCACAACCACCAGCACAACCACCAGCACAACCACCAGCAGGACCACCAGCACGACCACCAGCACGACCACCCAGCACGATCACCCAGCACCACCAATCACCAGTACGACAACCAGCACAACCACCAGCACGACCACCAGCACAACCACCAGCACAACCACTACCAGCGACCAGCACATCCACCAGCACGACGACCAGCACAACCACCAGCACGACCACCAGCACGAACAGCCACCAGCACGGCCACCAGCACCTCCACAAGCACGACCACCAGCACAACCACCAGCACGACCACCAGTACAACCACCAGCACAACCACCAGCACAACCACCAACAGGACCACGAGCACGACCACCAGCAGAACCACCAGCAGGGCGCACGGTCGAAATAAAGCAATGCGAGATCGCACCGGTAGGTATGATGATGAGAGGCTGGTTAGTGGCCCCGCTTGATGTGTGCCTTTGCCTGCTGGGAACTGTTGGGTACAACCGTTCCATTGTTTTGCTGGGGTTGTTTTGGGCGGCTTGCACATGGGGTGCGACCGAGGCACAGCGGACTCGCTTGAGCACCAGACTCGAACGGGGCGTTCCTTTGTTTTTCGGGGTGCATGAAAAGCTTCCCGCCGCCATTTTGGGGTGACCTCCCGCGCCCGCTTCAAACGAACTCTATCCACACGGCCTTGCCTCGCGTATAGAAAAAGTGCCACATCCCATCCGGATCCTTGCTTTTTAGTTCGCGGGCCCGTCGCACCCGATTTCCGAGAGCTTGTTCGGTTCAGTTGCGCGGGGGGGGGGGGGGGCACGATCTTGTTCTCGGGCTCGGGTGGGGCAGCGCTCGTCCTACTCCGCTCTTTCTCTTGCTCGCGCTGCCGCGTCCCGGAAAGGGAGGCGCCGACGGATGGACTCTGGCTCTCCTCGTCCTCGGCCTCTTCCTCGTGAGGGCTTGGCATCGCTCGGACGTGTGCATTTTTCCTTCGGCGAGGACCATCGAGGAGCATCCTTGATCATTTGGCGAAACAACCACGCACGAAACCGAAAAAAACACAGGGAATGGACGTCCGAGCGATGGCCAAAAGGGTGTACCGCTGCGTTTGACATGCCCCAGGCTTTCGCAGCGGACAGCAACGGGACGGCCTACATTGTACATCGCGCGTGTGAGATGTCATCGGGGTCCCTTTCGTCAAGTGGGATAGTTCCTGGCAGTGGCGGCGTCGGGGGCTCAATTTGGGGTACGATGGGGTTTGGTATGGAAACATTGGACGGTAACCAACATCTTTGCATTTTGAACTGGATTCGTTGTTGGAAGGCTTTCCTGGCGTCCCAACCCATGCCGACGGTGCGTTTTGGTCCGCAACGTGGCTCCCCAGCGGTGCTTGGAGCATTTTCCTGAACCTGTTTCCCATCCTGGGCCGTTTTTGTTAATGGTCCCAGGGATCCTGGCAAGGCCCCCCGACCAACAAAAACGCGACATTGTTTATAACTGTTCCGCCGCGCTTTTGTTCCCAACGATCTGGGGCATTGTTCCGCTCAGGACGGGAAGTCTTGACCCGTTTCTGGGGGACCAGCTGGGCCTTGGGACCGCGTGTCCTGAGTTGTTGCTTTCCGGCGTGGGCCCCCGGAATGCCAGCCGGCAATCAGATCCATGCAGTTTCTCCATTGCGTTGGCGGTCGAGGTTCGAGACCGACGGGCGGCGGCGGCATGCGGAGGGAGGCCGCGCGGGGGTCGGTGGGGCGGCCGCAGCGAGGTGCCGAAGAACCACCCGCAGCGCCGGCAGTTCGAGGCGACGCGGCCCCGCCCTGCCAGGGCTCGGGGGTCGAGAGTTAAGTCGGGCCTGTCCCCCTACAGGGTGATTTTCGACGAAAAATAAAACATGCTCACAAATAATCCCAAAATAGTCTAAACATAGTCTGGGAACTATTTTTTTAGCATTTTGTTGTTGCAATTTTGGTGCATTTCGAAGGTATGTTTTATTTTTCGTCGAAAATCCCCCTGTAGGGGGACAGGCCCGACTTAAGTCGAGGGCCTCCGTGTTTCTCTCGGCGGCAGGCGAGGGACAATCCGGGGGATGTGACGGGATGAGGAATGCAGGGCTGGACCTAGACGCTGTCCCTGACCTTCCAGGAGGGCTAAATAATAGCACGCGACTTAAAAACCTATCCCAGAACTATTATATGTCTTGGTTTTAAGCGATTTCGTTTCGTTGTTTAGGTTTTTAGGCCTCCCGTGCTAAAAAATAGCTCTCTGGAAGGTCAGGGGTGTTGCTGGACTTCGGCTGTGCTTCCGTTTTTCGTTTTGGCAGGGAGGTACAGGTAGAGCAGAACGAAAGACAGAACAACAACAAAACGAAACACGACGTTTAGGTCCTGCCCTGGAGAAATGGGAGGGGGGAAGGGGGGCGGATGCGCGAGGAAGGGGAGGAAACCTGACTGGGGAGCAGAGGGCCGGAGGAAGATTGGAGGGACACTGGGGGGGCGGGGGCGCGGGGAGGAGGCAGGCAGAAGGACGGTGAAGTCGGCGGCGAGCCTGGGGGCGGAAGTGAGAAGCGCCGGGCCTTTTTTCAGAAGGCTCGGCAGCCTGCCGACCTTCTGTTCTCCTTCTCTCACTTCCCCCCCTCGCTCGACGTCGAGTTTCTCTCCTCCTTCATCTCCCTCCTCCCCCAATGGTTCCCCAACGCTTTCCCAGACCTCCGACGACTTGAGCGAGTCAAGGCGGAGGTTCTTTGTCGTTTTCTACTAGTGTCGGCGCTCGCCAGGATCGGGACCAGCAGAAACGCTGGTCCTGGGGAAAGGGTCGGCATATCGGGGACCCCACACTTACGCAATGAAGGCATCGTCAGTTCTGAACGGCATCGTAAATCCAAATCGCCAATGTTGTATTTTCGTCCGTGCTTTCTGGCTTTCGGTGATCGGCGGTTGGGGTCGGCCCACTCTGCTCCCCGGATTTAGTGCGATACGCACGTTGCGTTCTTTTGGCGACGCGCTCTGCGATTCAAAACCGTCGAGCCGAAGTCGAGCCACTGCTACGTTGCGTCGCCCAGCCCGTAGAGTGGGGGCCCACGCCAAGAAACACCCCGCTTGCCTCCAGGGTGCCCTGAGTTTCTTGGGTTTCGATGGTTTTGCGATGGAGAGCGCGACGTTTCCCCACGCCAGAAATCCGTAGACGTCCTGGGGTCTCAGGGTTGGGTTTCTTGCGGAAGGTTTCTTGCGGACTGGCCCCCAGTGTAGGGTTCGGATGTCTCGGGTCGACCCATAAGAGGGTCCAGCGACAAGGAGGTGGTGCAATAGATTTGGTGCAATAGATTTGTGAGGTTGCAATACATCTGGCGTGTGCAGTACATTCCAGGGCGCAAATGTGTTGTTGTATTTTCCCGTGCAGCAGTTTTTTGCAATACGATACAGAACAATTCTCCAGCGCAGTACGTGTGCAATGCACTTGCCCCAAATCTATTGCACCACCCTCTTGCAGCTGGGCCCCTTTTTGGGCCACCCACAGTGTCGCCACCTGCCCTCCCCGGGGAATGGGCTTCTCGCCCCGGGTGGTGTCTGGACGGCCCCGCCGCCAGGCGAGGGCCCGCAGAGGCCGAGATCGGCGAGGGCATGCTTCCTTGGCTCTGGGGAACAAGCGCCACGTCGGGCGCGCCCCTCTACGGGAGGACTACTCAAGACATGATCAAACACATAGTTTGGGGACGAATTTTGGACTACCTCTTGACCTGTTCGACCCGGCCGCACACGCTCGTGGTGTTCGGATTTATCGCTGCGGCATGCGCGGGGCACCAGGGCGCGGCGCACAGCCCGCGCGAGAGGTGAACGCAACGGGGGGCGGCAAGCGCACGCGCGGGGATGGGCTGCCGCGAGCGCGACGTGGGAGCGATCCTCATTTTCAGTCGGGCCCGTCCCTCTACAGGAGGCGTGTTTCAAAAATAGGTTGAAACATCGTCAGGGGACGATTTTTCTGGTATGTTTGGCAATGTGTCATTACTTCTTGAACATGTTTGCTTTTTCGTCTAAGATCCGCCCGTGGGGGGACGTGCCCGACCTGATCCGTCTTGGTTTATGCCGATGTCGGCGACCATGCTCTGCAACCGAGGTTGGGCCAGACGGGGCTCGCTCAGTACCTTGAGTTGCCCGTCGCTGTTCATCATCTCATCATTTCCCTTGGCCGCGTCGGCGTTCCTGTGGCCACGCTTCGACGGCACGGCGAGGCGAGGCGAGGCGGAGGTCAGACATTTCTGTGGGCCTCTTGTCGCCGTCGTGGGTTTTTCTCGGACCTCGCTCGTGGGAGCTGGGCGCCCTCCCGGGGCGACCCGTGTCGCCCAACCCCGGATGCGTTCCGCACTCGTCTCGTGTCCTATCCGACTCCTCCTCCTGTTCCTCTTCCTCCTCCTCCTCCTCCACAGCCCCTTTCCCCCTCCGAGGACTCGAACGCGCGGCCGCATGGCATTGCGCGCGGGACGTGCGCGTGCGAATTCCCAGGCGCACTTGCGCACGGCGGGCATCCTCGCTGGAATCATAGCCGAGCGCGGGAAAGACGCGCGGCCTCGCGCGCACGGTGCTCTCGCCCAGACTGGAAAGGCCATGTGCGTCGAGGGCCCTGACACGCAAAGCACCGTCGTCCGCCCGCGCGCGTCCTCCAAAAGCGCTGGTCGGGGCCGCGGGGCCGTCCAAAAAACTTTCGCGGGCAGGCATCTGCCAAGAGTACCCCCCGCAACCACTGCCGCACTCCTGGGCCGATTTCTCTGCCAATTTCTTCCACTCGGAATCCGGTGGAAAACAAGCGGCGGCCGTGCCTGGGGGCGCTCGCGGGGCCGGCTGGCGGGCGGATTCGCGCCCCTCTGGGCCGGCCCCACAGACACAATTAATCGTCGATTCCCAATGAAAATATGGGAAAATGTGGGAAGTGTGGGGGGGGGGGGGGAGACAGAAACTTTTGAAATATGGGAAAATATGCGGAATCTTTTTATTTGTATGTATTTATTTGTGTGTCCCTGGCCCCTTCATATGTGCGGGTAGCCTCGCAAGGGAGGTCGCCCCATCGCATTCGCGCCCAAAAAGGGCGGCTGCGGGGGGAAGGCGGACGGGGGAGGGCAGGGAGGGGGAAAATGAAAGAGTGGAGAGGAGAAGGCAGAAGGGAGGCCCCCTCGCCCCCCTCCCTTCCTCCGTCGTCGTCCCTCCGTGCGTTCACCTTCTGCGCTGCCAGCCCAATGTTCCCCGCCCCGCCCCCTGTTTTCTTCTGCTATCCACCCCCTTCTGCGGGGCAAGCGTTATGTCGGGCGTGTCCCCCTACAGGGGGATTTTCGACGAAACAAATACATACTCCAAAAATACACCAAAAAAGGTCAAAAAGTACAAACCACCAAAAAATAGTCCCCAAACGATGTTTTGACTATTTGTGGATTATGTTTGGGGTAGATTTTATCTTTCGTCGAACATCCCCCTGTAGGGGGACAGGCCCGACTTAACCCTCCACCCGTTTTGTTCCGCTATTCAGCCCCTTCTGCGGGGCAAGCGTTACGTCGGGCGTGTCCCCCCCATACAGAGGGGTTTTCGACGAAAAATAAAAAAAAAACACCAAACATGTCAAAAGTAAAACCATACATTGTCCTCATACGATGTTTGGATTGTGTTTGGATTATTTTTGGGGTATCTTTAATTTTTCGTCGTAAATCCCCCTGCCAGGGGGACATGCCCGACTTTAACCCTCCCCCCGTTTTCTTCCGCTGTCCACCCCCCTTCTGCGGGGCAAGCGGCGGCCCGTGTGCTCGCGACGGGTTCGCCTGGCGCTTGGCGGCGCGAGGCGGCCTTCGCGAGCAAAGGGGGCCGCGCGGCTGGTCAAGGGCGTGGGCGGCCTAACCTCAAGTCGGGCGTGTCCCCTTACAGGGGGATGTTCTATGAAAAATGAAAGAAATACCTGCAAAATAATTAAAACATGGTCCAAACATAGTCTGAGGATTATTTTTTTTAGTATTTCTTTGACCTTTTTGGGGTATGTTGGGTTTTTTATTTGTCGTCGAAAATCTCCCTGTAGGGGGACAGGCCCGACTTAAACCTAACCTGCTCTGCACTTGTTCAGAGGTTCTGTTCTGCAAGCTGGTCGGAAGTCGGACATCGGATCTCTGGGCTTCCTCCGCCTCCCTCCAACGGCCCCTCCACCCCCTGTCGTCGTCGGATCGAGCACGGTCGCATTCGGCGTCCAGGGCACCTCTTGCCGGGCCCGGCCCGGGGGCCGCCAACAGACGGCCAGGGATGGGGTGCCAGTCTTGGGGAAGTGGTCCAGACCTCAAGGGGGCCCAATGTGCGCAAAGGCCGCGTCGTCGGAGTTTTCGCTCCACCCCCCACCCCACTCCTCCAGGGCGAGGGGCGCGGGTTGGAATGAAGGTAATGTGCACAGGTTCTGGTATGTGGAACAGTTTCAAAGTAGGGAAAAATTAGGTTGCGAAAGTAGATTGTTATTACATCTTCAACATATATACATATACCATAGAAGTAGGCCCGCCGCAGGCGCCGAATCTACCACCAGACAACAAATTTCGATCGCAAGCCCGCCGCAGGCGCCGATTTGGATTGAAGCCTGAACCAACATGAGGATGGCGAGCCCGCCGCAGACGCCGATTTTATCGCCAGAACGCGAATTCTTGTCGCAAGCCCACCGCAGGCGCGGATGTTTCATTGAAGCGATAAAAAAACATGAGGGCGGCAAGCCCGCCGCAGGCGCCGATTTTATCGCCAGAACGCGAATTCTTGTCGCAAGCCCACCGCCGGCGCCAATTTTTCAGTGAAG